TTTCCTAAAGAATCCCTGCTGGCCTGCCTCTGCCCTCAAAGTCGGAATTTTCTGAAAATACCGATTTTTTTTTCGTTTTTGAACCTCGCATGTGCAAAATCTTGACTCACACCAACCCGCCGAGGCCTATAAAACCCGGGGATGGTCAGAAAAATATGCGGAACAATCTGAAATGCATGCTTTTGAGGGGGGGGGGGTGAGAAGGTGGTATCGGCCGGCTCGACCACCGCCAGGCGCAAATATAGCTCACACGCATATTTGTGCCGATACACACATGCCGGATTTGTCATGCACCGATCGGTTTTATGGGTTATCGATCAAGGACCGTAGTCTGGATTTGAAGGAAATTTTTCTGAGCCTGAATTTTGGTAAAGGCGGTACCGGGCCTCTCCTAAAAATCTCTGCTAGCCTGCCCTCTCCTAAAAATCTCTGCTAGCCTGGCCTTTCCCTAAAGAATCTCTGCTACATAAATCTCTATGCAAATTCAAAATTGTGGAATTCGGCCCTATCAGACCTAAAGCTATCTCAACAACACGCTTTATTAGCTCAAGGCGTGTGACAGTGATTCATATGCCGATACGGTCACCAGCTGATCGCCTTTACTCTGCTTCTCTGTTCTCTCTGTCTCTCTGTCTCAGGCGGAAATGTTTCTCTCCCACCTTTCTGGGGGTGAATCACCCGTTCAGCTAGTCGCAAAGGAAAACATCGTAATTCACTCAGACGGCCCTGTCCCGAACGTGTCGAATTTTGAGCGGTTCAAAAGGCTTATGCCCGACTTTTCAAGCTTAAATTTTTAAAGCGTATACACGTAGTTGCTAATTACATAGCGTGTTCGTTTATTCCTGCGTTTAGCACTCTCCTTTTCTTATTTTATTTTCTGACTATTTTGACTTGGCACTTTGACCTCGTAAATGAAAAATTGACAGCATTGCATTCTGCAAATTTTCTAGAAATGGGCAACAAGCAGTCATACGACGTGCAGCAGTCCAAGAAAAACCCGAATCCCGACGCGTCGCCAAGTGGGAAAGTGCACCGGGTGCATGGTATGTCGATTGCATGATTTTCGGAGGTATCGCGAACACAGAGAGAGGGCGAGAGAGAGACAAAGAGAGGGAAGAGAGAGAAAGAGAGAGAGAGAGAGAGCGAAGGCATAAACGCAACCTAAACGCCCGCAACGCATTTGGATTTGGTTTTTGCTGTACCTGAAGCAATTGGTGTACTGCAGAACCATTTTTCAGAGGATTTTATCAAGTTTTTGGAAATAAAAACAAAATAAAAATAATGAAAAATTTCGTAATCTCAAAAACGGTAGCTATGGATTATTTTTAAGAACTTGCCAATTGATTATTGATGTTCCGCGAGCACCATTTAAAGCGGCTCTGGCAGCACACCGATTACGGCATTTTGGGGACCGGGCAGAGACGCAGAGTTCTCTGCGTCTCTCCTCTGGGCGCGCTCTTTCTCTCCCTGCCGCGACACACCCGACCGCGACGCTTCCACGAGTCGTGGAAAAAGGGGCTTGCTGCCAGACGCCCTTTAAGCGCAAAAACCTCAATGAGATTGAGAAAACGCTGTCCTGGCGTTTTTAATTTTTTTTCAAATTCAGAAATTGCCTGTTTGCCAGTTTTCTCATAAAATACGAGCGAAACCGTTTGCTACCTCGTCTCTTTAAACCAAAAAAAAAATCCATTTTTTCAGATGCCACCCACACCGACGTAATCTCCATCCAGAACGAGAATTCTCCTTCCTCGCCTGCAAGAAGTGAGTCAGTTTCGGGTTTCAAAAATGTCACCCGTAATTTGCAAAGTCCTACGATACCTTGGGTACAGAGTATCTGCGTGTAGCCTAGATTTCGGAGAGTTCCGTGTCGTCAAAAAAGCACACCAAAAAAGATTCCGCTTCTCGCCAATTAACAACGGTCAGGAAGGGCAAAATTCTGACGGCTGTAATTGGCGTTAAATATGGGTTTTCAAAATAAGGGGGTTAAATCGCCGTTCGTTAGAAGTTTTGCGTACATTTTCGGAATTTTTGGGAGCTTTTAAAACGTGGGGAGCGGGAAAATGAAGAAAAAGAAGGGGAAAATCAGTGGTAGAACGCGTTTAAAAAGCCGTATTTCGAGGATAAGTCTGAATATGGTATTTATGGCAAGTTTAGGGTGCCTGTTATATTTTTTAATTTAAAAAACGCAACTTTTGAATTCGATCTTTATTCATTTATAAATTTCCAAAGTACCGAGATTGCAAAATAGCTGTTGAAAGGGCATGCTTAGGCTTAGGCTTAGGCTTAGGCTTCAATACTTTTCACGTCAAGGTATTTTTCTAGGGTAATGTGGACTGTCGGCATTTTGGCTGTCGATTGTATGCCTCGAATTGGAATGCCGATTCAATAACCAAAGCTATCAAATTTTTAGGTTCGATCACGAGCTCGATCCATATTTCCGAAGTAGCCGTCGATGTTGCGCCGCAGCCTAGTTTAGGTTGGTCGCTTGTAGGAATTTAGTTTTTTTTGGATTTCTAGCAAGTCTGGCCGAATCTCCGGACCCGGAAGCGAAGTCGGTCTTTACAACCGAAGCCGAATACGAAGTCCAGGCCCGCGTCGAGCTGGTAACGGATGATAAGCCGATCGTGGAGGTACCAGTCGCGGTAAGTTGTAAGCATTAACCTAAGCATACGCCTATGCCGAAGCCTAACTCTAAGCCTAAGTCTAAGTCTAAGCCTAAGCCTAAGCCTAAGCCTAAGCCTAAGCCTAAGCCTAAGCCTAAGTCTAAGTCTAAGCTGAGGACGAGACCCAAACTTAAGTCGAAACTTAAACCTAAGCCTGAGCTTAACCCGAAGTCAAAGCCTATACCTAAGCCGACCCTAATCCTAAGCCTTAAAGTAAGCCCAAGCCAACCTAATCTCTTCAGCCCACTTTAGAAACTTTTCCGCGTCAAACCCCTGCCAGAGTGTGACCTCGAGAAGGAGCCCACGGAGAGTTGCTATGCTTAGAAACGAAGAACCCTTTGACGAAAATGATTCTCACAAATCCCATCGACATAATAAATTGTCTAAATCGAGTTGCAGCTACAGTTTGACGTAAAATGGCATTAATAAGACCAATCACAAGCGTATTGTAGCCACTACACAAAGCAGCAAAAAATCGAAAATTCTGCCTTCCTGGTCCCCCAGGAAGTTTATGGCTCAGCAAAGATCACCGAGCACGGCGGAAACGATTTTTCTGCGGTCCTTAATGCGTCGACGGCTTTCGGTTCTCTTATCCGCCCCACAAATCTGCAGATTCCCAAGGTTTTCGAGAACATAAAGCACGCAGAAGACAAGAGAGAGAAAGAGAGAGAGAGAGAGAGAGAGAGAGACGGAGAGACGGAGAGACGAACCTTAGCATACGACAGCCATGCCAGCTCCATCCTGCCAGCCGGCGAAAGATGGGCGTAAAGGGGCGTCGGGCGGAACTGTGCCTCAAGAAACGATCACATCCAGTCCAACACCCCCCACCCTCAACCCCCTTATAAGAAGCGGCAAACAGCCGAAAGTAGCCGTGACGGTTCCCACGACTTTCCATTGAGCGAGTACTGCCTTGTTTTTATTGTTATATTTTTGACATTTTTGATAGCTGACTTCTTTACTATCGCTTTTAATAACTCAAAAATACTTGGTAGCTGGAAAATGGTTTTGTTTTCTCTCTCACTCGCTGTTTCTCTCTCTCTCTTTCGCCCACTCTCACTCCCCCCCGCTCCCGCGCTCGCACTCTCTCACTCTCACTCTCTCGCTCACTCTCTCGCCCTCTCAATTCCTCTCTCTCTCTCTCTCTCTCTCTCTCTCTCTCTCTCTCTCTCTCTCTTTCTCTCTCTCTTTCTCTTTCTCTCTCTCTTTCTCTCTCTCTTTGTTTCCCTGTGTCTCTCTCTCTCATTCTCCCTGCTCTCTTCTCTCTCGGAATGTCTCTTTCATTCTCTCTCTCTCGCTTTTTACCTCCTTAAAATCAGATATATTCAGAATGATGTTCAAAGCCCTCGCCCTCGCCTGCCTCGTTTTGGCCGTCCACATCCACGCAGAGGAGGAGGAGGTTATTAATTTTTGACTTTTAGAGTCTGAATTCATATGATGAAGGTTAAAAACTATTTACATTCAACAAAATTATAGACAACGCTGTCCGCTGCCGGTCAGAAGGCCCTCAGCGAGATCCGGGCCCTGCGAGTCCAACAGTATGCGATTTTGGACAAATTGGAGGATGATGACCGATTTGATGTAAGTGAGAGTGAGAGAGAGAGAGAGAGAGAGAAAGAGAGCGAGGGAGAGGGAAAGCTATCTCAATAGCATCGGCTTTTAGATCGAAGACATCATCGAAAAAGACACCGAGGAGCACGAGCAGGACGAGCTGGCCGACCTGGAATCCGCTGTGAAGGTATATTTGTCATTTTTCTTGCATTTTTTACAATGAGTTCCGCTGCAGGACAACTCCGGGCTGACTTCTGATGAAGCTAATGAGGTGAGCTATAGCTAGATCTCTCCCTCTGTCTCTCGCTCTCGCTCAATTCTCTCTCTCACTCTCTCTGTCTCTCTTTCTGTCTCTCACTCTCTGTCTCTCTATCTCACTCTCTCGCAAGCGTAGAGTAAAAATTCAGATTTCCCCTCCATTTTTTATGCAAAAAATGAAAAGGCACCTAATTCCGCAAGTTCCATAAAAACGCAAAAGTGCAAGTTCGTAACGTGATTCGATTGTTGCCAGCCCTCGTTTTTCGTTTTAGAAACCAAAATCGTTCCTCCAAGCGGTTTTTGTAAGCCCGTGGGGAAAATTCGACTCCGTTTTACTAAACCCAGAAAAAAAAAGATTCAAGAACCGTTTCTTCAGGACTCCGAATAAATTCCCGGCAACCGACGCGAGGCCAGGGACCAACATTAATTTATTTGAATTTTATATTTATTTGGTTTTTCGTATTTTCGATTCATTTGTCAAATAGTGCATATATTTATTCATAAAAAAAACAATAAAACATCTTTGAGCTATTTCTTCGACTCCAGAATTCGCAACTGCGCCACGTTGTCGCCGCACCGCGAATTATGCTCCTTGTGCGCGTTGTCGCAGTAGGGCCACTAAAAAAACAGGCCCTCTTGAATACAGAAAAGCTTTTTAAAGGGACTGGGAAGCGCCAGAATCGACCCATTCTTTAGACTAGATCTCGACAGCTACGCAAGACTGCAAATGACGCTTAAAATCGGCTCAAATTACCGCAAAACTCGCTTTGGGCAGCGCTACAAAAATGAGGCACCATGCGTTATTTGGAGCGAAACGTCGCTGTCTAGACCTAGCCGTTGAAAGGGGTCGATTTTGGGTTTCTAGCCCGTTGAAAAAATACCGACATTCTTCGACTTCCAGCACCGGCAAAACGTTCGCCATTGGCCGTTGGGTTTTCGTTGGATCTCGGAGAGGTCAATCGTGTCCACAACCTCAAAAAAAGGAATTTTGGCTCTCTTGCACTCTTGCTCTCTCTCTCCCTCTCTCGCTCTCTCTCTCTCTCTCCGTTTCTCTGTCTGGCACGCTCTCTAGCTTTCGGACACTCTCTCTTTTTCACCCTTTCTAACACTTCAGCGCACTAACGGACCCAGCCAGAGAGCGAGAGCGTTGGCGAGCGAGAGACTGAGAGAGCCCGAGAGAAAGAGAGAAAGAGCTTGGGAAAAGACAGAGAGAGACATAGAGAGCTAGGAAGAGAGAGAGCGAGAGCGAGAGAGGAAGAGAGAGGAAGAGAGAGGGAGAGAGCGCGAGAGAGAGAGAAAGAGAGAGAAATAGAAAGAGAAAGAGAGCGAGAGCGAGAGAGAGAGAATCAGAAATAGAGCGAGTGAGAGGACGAGGGAGTACGCCAAATTACGAAAAGTTCATAAATTCACCTTTTCACAATCAAGTTTTATCATCCGATTTGCCCGCGCGTTTTTCCGGCCCACAAATGTGCCGACCTAAAACAGATCTTACTTAGAGACATTTTTTGCAATAATTTCCTTGATTTAAAACGAAAAACCTACAAAATACCCAACAGCCAGCCCACCAGCCACCAGCCCGGCCAATTTCAGGTAATCCGAGCCACTGTGGCTGCTCATTTGGCTAAAACAGAAAGTTGTTTCAATTTAAAACTAAAATCTGGGTATTTTTAATTTTAAAATTGATTGAATTTATAGAAAGCAGAACAAGTGAAAAATATAAACCTTTGTATTCAAAATTTTTCATAGATCTTGCAAAACTTTTACAGCTTTTTTTATTTTTACATAAAGCAAAATTTTCAATACAAAATCTTATAAAAATTATTAAAATTACTGTTAATTAAAAGCAAAAAGTACGTGGTAATCAATAATGTAATGCCCTTTTGTCCGGGGCCAGACATATTTCAAGGTTATTTTTGTCCGTTGTGTCACTGCTGTTTGTAGTTTGTGGCGAATCGGTTACGCGGGGAATTAGAAGGGTACCAATATTTGACGCAATTCGCAATAACACGTAAAATTCTCGATAAAATTTGTTTATATTTATTTAATAAGATAAATACAGCAAAAAAAATTTGGATCAGGAGAAAAGATCGAAACTGTTCTCCCAGCCGCTAGAAATTGCAAATAATTCGTAATCGGGATCAGCTCGGATTTTGAGAAAAGAGAGAGAGAGAGAGAGAGAGAGAGAGAGAGAGAGAGCGAGAGGAAGAGAGCGAGGAGAGAGCGTACAGAGAGAGAGCGACAGAGAGGGAGAGTGAGCGAGTGCGAAAGAAAGAGAAAAGGATAGCGACAGAGAGAGAAACCGAATTCCTTTATTCAACCTTCTTCCTCTGTCCGACCGATGTTGGAGTAGCCATTTGTGAAATCAAATACCTCGTCACACTCAGTAATATATACAATAAAAACATCGAAAAGACAAGAATACAGGCAAAAATGTCTAAATTATAGTAGACGATAATGCTCAGCTCGCCGGCTGGGGTCTTCAATTCTGGAAGACCACCCGAAGCGATAGCGAAATCCGTCCATCTAGAAAATGAAATGTTTCGATCTTAATTTCAAATTTGCATGTAAAAACATAACTAAAAACTCCTACTCTGCAAGAGACCCAAAACTCACTTTAATAACTTTTCGGAGGCTGAAAACGGCTTGGTCTTCAGCATTGCTGGAATTCGGAGGGCGCCTTCTGAATATCTGGAAAACAAGGTTTGCTATATCTCTCTGTCTTTCTCTCTCTCTTTATCTCTCTCTCTCTCGGTCTCTCTCTCTCCTACTTCGTGTCGTTCAGCATTTCCTGAAGAGCTGCCTTCAACTTCTGCCCTCCAGCTAGAAGATCCTGCCGTCGCACCGGGATTCCCCAGCCATTTTTTTCGAGCACACGACCATTTCTGAAAAGATCGTTAGGTTAAGCATTTACGTCATAATTCAGCTTTCTAAAATGTACAAACTTTACATACCTAAACTGGTCAACAAAGAATGGAATAGTAATCATCGGTTTTCCGGCATGCGCGGCTTCCGTTATCGAGTTGTAGCCACCGTGCGCGATCATGCATTGTAGACGTGGGTGTCCTGAATAAGGATTTGGGCTTGGGCCTAGGCTTAGGCTTAGGCTTAGGCTTAGGCTTAGCTTAGGCTTAGCTTAGGCTTAGCTTAGGCTTAGCTTAGGCTTAGCTTAGGCTTAGCTTAGGCTTAGGCTTAGGCTTAGCTTAGGCTTAGCTTAGGCTTAGCTAAGGCTTAGCTTAGGCTTAGGCTAGGCTTAGGCTTAGCTTAGGTTTAGCTTAGGCTTAGCTTAGGCTTAGCTTAGGCTTAGGCTTAGGCTTAGGCTTAGGCTTAGGCTTAGGCTTAGGCTTAGGCTTAGGCTTAGGCTTAGCTTAGGCTTAGCTTAGGCTTAGCTTAGGCTTAGCTTAGGCTTAGCTTAGGCTTAGCTTAGGCTTAGCTTAGGCTTAGCTTAGGCTTAGCTTAGGCTTAGGCTTAGGCTTAGGCGTAGGCTTAGGCTTAGGCTTAGGCGTAGGCTTAGGCGTAGGCTTAGGCTTAGGCTTAGGGGGCATTTAATACTCACTCAATAAAGTGCTCTGTGGTGCCCATTCTGTCAGGAATACATTTGTGGCTCCCGCCGCGAATGTCGGTGATACCTAAAAATTTGGTTTTAATGGCTGGCTGAAATATTTTCCATACCTTGTCGTAACGATCAATCTTGGCGATGAAGTGATGATCAGGGAACGTCTTGAAGACGTCGAAGAGAGTCTTCATGACTTCAGCAGGCAATTGAGAGGTATTCACATTCGAACCGAAAGAAAAGAAGACCACTCCTTCTTTCCCTTCCTCCATTTCGAGGGTGAATTGCTGGAAATCGAAATATTTCAGTGTCTCTCTCCCCTCTCTCTCTCGCTCTCACCTCATCTAACGGTTTCACAGCCCCATCTTCCATCCCCAACCCTCCGATATGAATGATATTAGGGAATATCGGCCTCGGTAAATCAATTAGCTCATCGGTAGAAACGAAGATGACATCTGGCGATCGTTCGATCGAAGTGATGGACGGGAAATCGGGTCTGAATTCATGTCTGTTATTGCGATTGTTCGTTAAAGTCCACTGCAAGATTGCCCAGCCACCTCTCTCCTGCTAATGACCTTAGCTCTCGGTCTCTCTCTCCCTCCCTCCATCTCCCTCCATCTCTTTCTTTCTTTCTCTCTCTCTCTCTCTCTCTCTCTCTCTCTCTCGGTCTTCCCCTCTCACCATAACTCTCCCAGAACGCCCTCGAAAACTTACCCAAATCGCTTCTGAAATTCCGCGTCCAGCGGGCCGTAGTGCGCGTCGTAGCCGAAACCGACTTGACTGGCCAAGTACTCGACGATATTCTAGGAACATGAACGGTAAATGGACCTTGCCAAGATCCTGAACGTACCTGGAATCGTTGATAAAAATTTGGACGATCGCCAAAATCGACATTTCCGACGGAAGGTAGATAGGAAAGTGAGTGGGGAAGGCCGATAATCCATGACATATGATCCATTATGGGACAACTGAAAGAGAGGGATTAGAGAGAGCGAGAGAGCGAGAGAGAGAGAGAGAGAGAGAGAGAGAGAGAGAGAGAGCAAGGGAGAGAGAGGGTACCTCGAGATCCAAAATTTCCGCTTTATGCCTAGATACTCTGCCAGCCCATGTCCACATCCATTCAGCTGCTCCCCGAAAAACGCGTCGAAATTCTCGGCCTTGAGTTTTTCGAGTTCCTCAACTGTCGAGAAGCTCTTAAGTAAGTTTCGAAAAGCGCGACAGGATCGTTTACCTCCGCACTGCGCGGTGAAGGCCTTTGAGTAGCTGATCATGTTGCCGGTGTACTAAAGGAAAAAATTAGCGTTTCTGATTCTCTCTCTCACTCTCTCTCTCGCTCTCTCTCGCTCTCCCCTACCTACCGTAATTGTACTCTCGTCATCAAACGCCGACGAAAACCCACTCACGGCCTTGCTCAGCTTGTCGCTGAACCCAAAAACAGGCCACTTCCGGGCCAGCTTCGCATTCTTCACCCGGTGCCACATGTTCAGCAAGTCCGGCTCGAACAGCACCTAGAGAAATGTAGAATTTTTACCATCAAAGTTCCTTTGAAAATTTGTCTAGGCCTAGCCAAGGATAAGGGTAAAACCCGACGCTTCTCTGTTCCTTTAACAAGAAAAATTCAAATCTCGAGCGCACCACATCATGGCCGGCCTTGGCCAACTCGTCGGCGATGCGCCCATTCGAGATCATGTGCGAGGCGGAGATTGTCGGTGAAAAGACGAGAATCTTGTGAGCTATGGATACGGTAGATAGGGCACAGAATAGGAGAGGTAGTAGAAGATGTCGCATTTTCTGAAACTAAAGATCGTGGGGTTTCAGTGAAAACGCAGCAATGAAAAACACAATGCCGACAGCTCTGGAGCTACATAAATTCATGCAAAATTCGGGAAAATTTATAAAATAAAAGCTAAAAATCAATGAAAAGAAACAGTGGGGGTCTGTGAGGATGGCGCCGAAGAGTAGATGCCCTCTTATACACATGACAAAATATTAGGCAATGCCAATGATGTGAGGATATCTCCGCCACATTTTGTACTTTGTGACGGGCGATAAGCGCCGATCGGAGCGAGAATCCCCCAGCGCTCGTGCCAAATCCCGCCAAAATTTTGGTCAACCGTTTCGTTGATGCAAAGATTGACGTCTACGAAAGTGGACGAGGATCCTGGGGTTCGATGCAATCTCGGAGATCATAGGAAATTTTGAAGTCGGGGTAGGCTAGCAGAGATCCTTTGGGGAGATGCAGCCAAAAATTCTACGCTTCTCCTTTTCCATTCAAATTTCTGGAAGGTATGAGCGATAACGTTTTTGAATGAAAGACTTCATGACACTTTTCCAAATTGCTGCGGCATTTAGAGCGAAAGAGGGAGGGTGGCAGGGAGAGAGAGAGAGAGAGAGAGAGAGAGAGAGAAAGAAAGAGACGGACAGAAAGAAAGCTATTTTTTTAAATCAGCTGTCTTCCAAAAGGATACATCCTCCTTTTTTAAAGAGTTTTGGGCAAACCAGCCGACTTCATTCGATAAAAAAAACCGCAGACGGTCCAATTTTGTGAAAGTTCACGCCCTGATAACTACTGATAAGCATCTGCCCGCCTCTGCGATATATTGATGACCGTCAAATTTGAGGATTTTTCGCAATAGCAGATAAAACGCCTAAAATGCCGAATTCAGCTCAATTGGAGCATTTCCGCATTCTCGACGCTGTTTCGGAACGTAGGAATTTGGGATCGCGATGATTTATACACCATTGGCAAGCCCTTGAAAATGCTACAAAATCATTCCAAAGCGAATGCCTGCAAAATTCGTTTAACATGGCTTCTGGTAGCGTTTAGGTTGCTCCCACCCGCATCGTCCGTGCCTGCCAAGGCCTTCCAAGCCGGGTTCCGCAAGGAACCGAGCGTGCGAGATCGCTTTGATGTGTGCACCTGAAAGAGCACCAAAAATAGTACCGAAAACCGTTTCTTTCGAAGCCCCGGAGGCCCTGGTTTAATTGCTACGATTTTTTGAATGTTGCAACTAGGCAGCCTTCGTCGACCAGGCCTTCCAAGCCCCATTCCGCGAGAAATCGACCGCGCGAAATCGCTTTGATGTGTGCACCTGAAAGAGCACCAAAAATAGTACCGAAAACCGTTTCTTTCGAAGCCCCGGAGGCCCTGGTTTAATTGCTACGATTTTTTGAAACTTTTATTTTTGATGGTTTACGACTAAAGGCGGGACCACATGGATTTTTTCGGAATTTACCAAAAAAATTTCGAGAAATTCATCACGCACTTCAATTTGGAGCTGAAAGAGCACCAAAAATAGTACCGAAAACCGTTTCTTTCGAAGCCCCGGAGGCCCTGGTTTAATTGCTACGATTTTTTGAATGTTGCAACTAGGCAGCCTTCGTCGACCAGGCTTTCCAAGCCCCATTCCGCGAGAAATCGACCGCGCGAAATCGCTTTGATGTGTGCTCCTGAAAGAGCACCAAAAATAATACCGAAAACCGTTTCTTTCGAAGCCCCGGAGGCCCTGGTTTAATTGCTACGATTTTTTGAATGTTGCAACTAGGCAGCCTTCGTCGACCAGGCCTTCCAAGCCCCATTTCCGCGAGAAATCGACCGCGCGAAATTGCTTTGATGTGTGCACCTGAAAGAGCACCAAAAATAATACCGAAAACCGTTTTTTTCGAAGTCCCGGAGGCCCTGGTTTAATTGCTACGATTTTTTGAAACTTTTATTTTTGATGGTTTACGACTAAAGGGGGGACCACATGGATTTTTTCGGAATTTACCAAAAAAATTTCGAGAAATTCATCACGCACTTCAATGTGGAGCTGAAAGAGCACCAAAAATAGTACGGAAAACCGTTTCTTCCGAATCCTCGGAGCCCCTGGATTAATTGCTACGATTTTTTGAATGTTGGAACTAGGCAGCCCTGGTCGACCAGACCTTCCAAGCCCCATTCCGCGAGAAATCGACCGCGCGAAATCGCTTTGATTTGTGCACCTTAAAGAGCACCAAAAATAGTACCGAAAACCGTTTCTTTCGAAGCCCCGGAGGCCCTGGTTTAATTGCTACGATTTTTTGAATGTTGGAACTAGGCAGCCCTGGTCGACCAGACCTTCCAAGCCCCATTCCGCGAGAAATCGACCGCGCGAAATCGCTTTGATGTGTGCACCTTAAAGAGCACCAAAAATAGTACCGAAAACCGTTTCTTTCGAAGCCCCGGAGGCCCTGGTTTAATTGCTACGATTTTTTGAATGTTGCAACTAGGCAGCCTTCGTCGACCAGGCCTTCCAAGCCCCATTTCCGCGAGAAATCGACCGCGCGAAATCGCTTTGATGTGTGCACCTGAAAGAGCCCCAAAAATAGTACTGAAAACCGTTTTTTTCGAAGCCCCGGAGGCCCTGGTTTAATTGCTACGATTTTTTGAAACCTTTTCTTTTTGATGGTTTACGACTAAAGGGGGGACCACATGGATTTTTTCGGAATTTACCAAAACAATTTCGAGAAATTCATCACGCACTTCAATGTGGACCTGAAAGAGCACTAAAAATAGTACCGAAAACCGTTTCTTTCGAAGCCCCGGAGGCCCTGGTTTAATTGCTACGATTTTTTGAATGTTGCAACTAGGCAGCCTTCGTCGACCAGGCCTTCCAAGCCCCATTCCGCGAGAAATCAACCGCGCGAAATCGCTTTGATGTGTGCACCTGAAAGAGCCCCAAAAATAGTACTGAAAACCGTTTTTTTCGAAGCCCCGGAGGCCCTGGTTTAATTGCTACGATTTTTTGAAACTTTTATTTTTGATGGTTTACGACTAAAGGGGGGACCACATGGATTTTTTCGGAATTTACCAAAAAAATTTCGAGAAATTCATCACGCACTTGAATGTGGACCTGAAAGAGCACCAAAAATAGTACCGAAAACCGTTTCTTTCGAATCCCCGGAGGCCCTGGTTTAATTGCTACGATTTTTTGAATGTTGCAACTAGGCAGCCTTCGTCGACCAGGCCTTCCAAGCCCCATTCCGCGAGAAATCAACCGCGCGAAATCGCTTTGATGTGTGCACCTGAAAGAGCACCAAAAATAGTACCGAAAACCGTTTCTTTCGAAGCCCCGGAGGCCCTGGTTTAATTGCTACGATTTTTGAAACTTTTATTTTTGATGGTTTACGACTAAAGGGGGGACCACATGGATTTTTTCAAAAACGGGCCGCGCGCTTCCGATCAATGTAAGCAGACCATTCCTGCGCTTTGAAACGCTGATTCCGGGTTGCTAACTGGCTCGGCCGTCACATCGCTCCTTGGCGCAACAGCAGCTCGAAGGCCCCCTAATCCTCAATTCAGCCAAATCGGGCGTTTCCGAATTCCGGACGCTATTTCGTAGCGGAATCGCAGGACGGGCTACTCTGCTTGCTTCGCACCCGCTCCCCACCTGGCCCACTAGTGTGGAGGGGGTTCCCAAAGCTTTCCACTGAGTAGGCCAACGATTGACCCTCAGCTTAGGCTTAGGCTTAGGCTTAGGCTTAGGCTTAGGCTTAGGCTTAGGCTTAGGCTTAGTTTTAGGCTTAGGCTTAGGCTTAGGCTTAGGCTTAGGCTTAGGCTTAGGCTTAGGCCTAGGCTTAGGCTTAGGACGAGCCCCCGGACTGGTATGCTTTTTTGGGTCAACCGGATTTGGTGGGGCATTTTTTTCCGGGCGCGTTGCACCGCTAGATACTTGGTTGTTGATTTTGTTGGATCGGGCTACGAAGTTAGCCGTCCATAGGAGCCCTAGCCTAAGCACTACACCGAGAGATTGCCGGAACGGCGCCGGTTACCTTGGTTAGAATAGGGTGGTGATCCCCCAGGAGGTGTCGTTGCTTCTGATGCTCCTCCCTCAACCTTCCCTCCCGTACGTAGAGTAGCTCTAGCATCTACCTGAGCTGCGATCCGCTGAGACCCGGCCTTGAATGCGACCTTTTTTACGACGAATTTCGCAATCATATCGACCCCCCCCCTAGATCAACCAGATAAATCTGTGCCCGTATTTTTTGCTACCGAAAACCGTTTCTTTCGAAGCCCCGGAGGTCCTGGTTTAATTGCTACGATTTTTTGAATGTTGCAACTAGGCAGCCCTCGTCGACCAGGCCTTCCAAGCTCCATTCCGCGAGAAATCGACCGCGCGAAATCGCTTTGATGTGTGCACCTGAAAGAGCACCAAAAATAGTACCGAAAACCGTTATTTCCGAAGCCCCGGAGGCCCTGGTTTAATTGCTACGATTTTTTGAATGTTGCAACTAGGCAGCCTTCGTCGACCAGGCCTTCCAAGCCCCATTCCGCGAGAAATCGACCGCGCGAAATCGCTTTGATGTGTGCACCTGAAAGAGCACCAAAAATAGTACCGAAAACCGTTTCTTTCGAAGCCCCGGAGGCCCTGGTTTAATTGCTACCATTTTTTGAAACGTTTATTTTTGATGGTTTACGACTAAAGGGGGGACCACATGGATTTTTCGGAATTTACCAAAAAAATTTCGAGAAATTCATCACGCATTTCAATGTGCAGCTGAAAGAGCACCAAAAATAATACCGAAAACCGTTTCTTTCGAAGCCCCGGAGGTCCTGGTTTAATTGCTACGATTTTTTGAATGTTGCAACTAGGCAGCCCTCGTCGACTAGGCCTTCCAAGCCCCATTCCGCGAGAAATCGACCGCGCGAAATCGCTTTGATGTGTGCACCTGAAAAAGCACCAAAAATAGTACCGAAAACCGTTTCTTTCGAAGCCCCGGAGGTCCTGGTTTAATTGCTACGATTTTTTGAATGTTGCAACTAGGCAGCC